ATTATAAATGTACTTGTGTTTCTCGTGTACAAATGTACATATTGTAATAAACATTTAATAATGCAGCCTATATTTTTATAAAAAGTTTTTATTTCTTATCATTTTTGTTGTTAATTATACACTGTTCGTTGCAATAATTTTTTTCATTACTTCAGTAATATTTTTCTAGAACAGTTACTATATTGATATCTGTCAGTAATTATGCAAAATTGATTGTAGTGCTTAATTTTGTTTATCTAAAGCTTGTACAGTCGAACCTTGATAACTTAAACTTCTACACTTCGAAAACCTTTATAAGACGAAAATTTTGTTCATCCCCTTCCGCTCCGCTGCGGAAAACCTCTGTAAATTAAAATAAAATCTACCTTAACTCGAATTATTTGTCAGGCATTTAGATATATATTTTACCTCTGTAATTCGAATTTTAAAGTAGCCAGACCTCTACAAGTCGAACTTCCATCGTCGCTACCTCTATAATTCGAAGTTGTAGCTATGTGTAACTATGAGTAATAGCCTGCAGGTATATATTTTGTTTTATGGTTACATTTATCATATGTATACAATATATAATCACAGTTAAATATCGATTTTTTTTCCTCTAAAAGCCATTATAATTGGAAAATTATAAACTCTCGTACAAAGTCTCCGTAAGTCGAATTTTCACATGTTAACCCTCTTTTACTCGAATTTCGATAAGTCAAAAACTTTATAACTCGAACAATTTTTCTAGTCCCTAATTGAGATTCCAGATTCGACTGTAGATATATACAGGATGTCCCATTTTAATCGATTACCTCAAATACCTCTTGTACAGTGCATTTTAGGGAAAAATGTTTCAAACAAAAGTTTTGGGACTTCGAAGGGGACATAAAATGATAACATTAGTTTGATCCTGAGTTGCGTCGTCAAGGTCAGGACAAGATCACTTTGAATTTTTTAAATGGAAGCCCCATTTTTCATTACATATTCTTGTAGCATAACTCGAGAGCTTTTCAAAACATATAGATAAAATATTTTTTTATGAAATAAATCTTAAATTATAAAGCTTGAAAGTTGGAGTACCGTCGGTATTAGCATCATTCAAGATGTTCGAACACTAGCTAAAACCTTTTGAATGTTGTTCAAGATCATGACATTGATAAAACATGTGAAGGTCATGACCATTGGAAATTGTTTCTCTTTTTTTCAAAAAATAAATATAATTTATAAAAATGAAAATAAAAGCAATAATCTTTAATGGCCTTGATCTTGACATGTGTTGTCTAGGTCATGATCCTGAACATTATTCAAAAGGTCAGTGTTCGAACACCTTGGATAATGCTCATGCCGATGGTACTGCAACTTTCAAACTTTATAACTCAATATTTATTTAATCAAAAAATTTTTATCTATATGTTTTAGAAAGTCTCGAGAGAAGAAACTCTCGAGGTGTGCTACAAGAATATAAATGGGGGGAATAAAAATGGGGGGTTTCATTTAAAAAATTCAAAGTGATCTTGTCCTGACCTTGACGACGCCACTCAAGGGTCAAACCAATGTTATCATCTTATGTACCCCTCGAAATCCCAAAACTTTTGTCTGAAACATTTTTCCCTAAAATGCACTGTTCAAGAGATATTTGAGGTGATCGATTAAATTGGGACATCAAAATTCTGTTGGCGTTGTCTCCGCCCAGTTTTAATAATAAACTCTTTGTCGGATTAACTCCTTTAGTCGTTAAGCGCAATGAGTATCAATCGCTCTTACAAGCTCAGGTAAATGCCTGCCATAAAAAATTTGTTTATTTCATTTACGGTTATTGCCTTATTTTTACGTACACGTGAATAAATTATCTGACCTGTGTTTTACAAGTATAATTGCAAGAGAATCAATTCAATTTTTTATCAAATTAGGCTTTGATCTGTTAAATACAAATTTTTTATCAATATACAATTTTACTACTCAAATTTTGTACTACTCAACAATGTAACTGTTATGTACAACATGTATTATAGTCTGTCAAATAAGAGCGTGGTTGACCTATTTGAAAGAAAAGTGTATTTATTTATTAACATTTAAATAATAATATTTATATTCTACTATAGGATTATGGATATTAAAATGCAATTACATTAATAAGAGGTCCAGTCACCCTGAAGTGAAAACTGATTGAAAACTAAAAAGCTATAATATATAATGTTATTGTTACTTTATTCTACAGGAAGATAAGAAATTTAAACCGCGTTAAAAAAATTTTTTTACATAATCTCAAATTGAGACAAAAATTTTATTTAAAGAAATTTTATTAATATTAATTTAACGTCAATTTTACTGGCTAACGAGGATTTTTACAAACTTTTAATACAAGTTTTCAATATTAACAATATTCTTCTTTATAAAAGTATGAATGACATAATCACTTGAGATATTTTGGAAAGTTAGAAGAGAAAAGTTTTAATGATTCATATCGATTTTGTTACTGTTATATAGTTTTTTAGCTAAGTATTTAAATTAGCATCTGTTTAGTATAAACTCTATAATATTTACAAACCTTTATTTCTTTCTCTCTTTCTTTGTAGTATTATGCACATAATTAATTGCATTTTTAGTATTACGCACATAATTAATTTATTGTATCACTAATTTGAAAACAAAAAATAATGAATTTAGCCTGTACTTGCATGTCAATTTTGAATCTTTCAGTTAACATAACTTTTTTTTAGAATATCATCTATCTACAACAGTTTAAAAAGTAAATTAAATGATGTCTGCAAATTTACACGTGTTCACGATTTGGAGAAGGAGCAGATCCATGGTTTTGTTTCCATGGAAATCACACTTTCCAAACTCAGAAAGGGATCTGTATTTTAGCACAAGATAAATTCTATTTTAGTATTATTAATTAAGTTGAGAAGAAGACAATAAATCAAAAGACGGATTGGAATAAAATTATATCCGAAGCAATGGAGATCGTCGGATATTCGATGTTCTTCATAATTTCAAAATGGTTATTAAAGGATGAGATTGTGATGCATTTCAGGAAGCTGAATGGATCAAATCATCCCTTATCGCAAATCGTCAAGTAAATTATCACTGCAATGCTTTCCTGAGAATAAAAATTTTCTTTGTGTTTTTTTGTAACAACAGATCCGTTATCTATAATAGACATAATATTCAACCGTTTGGTTTCGTTTTGCTGCTGATCTCCAAAGCTGCTGGTCACTTCCCACTAAACATTTTCATCATTACGTTGTTGAAACGTTATACTAATATCTCGGTGATAGCAAATGTCCTACCTCTACGACATTTCAAAGGAATGTTTTATTTGTGAGATTTTTGCAACGTAACAAGAATGTGTCATTATTATGCGAAATCGATTACTATCTCTCTAAATTTTCTGGAGTGATTTTTCACTCTTTTGCATTAAGATTTACTCCAGAAAACTTAGACGTTACTTATATGTACGTCGTAATAACGTTAAATAAAAACATTTTTCTGGAACGTCCTAGAGGCAGGACATTTAATATTTTATCGAGATGTTAGCATGAGCGTTTCGACAACGTAATTATCCAAATGTTTAGTGGATTGAACGCAAAATCGACAGAAGTGACTGAAGTTGTGGGCGTATTACACAGATACATAAATACAAAAAATATATTCTTCTACGAAGAAAAGACAGATCTTAATAAATGTTTTAGTCAAAAAGTACTGGACGTTATAGAAATGATTCGCACTAGCAATTTGATAAATTTAATTCAGTCGAATATATGTAATTTACAAGCATTGACGAAGAGTAATTGTTTGAAAAGTAACAAATTTTATTTTAAGTAAAACATCTATTCTTATAATGTAAATATAAAAACATATATCATAACTTCCATAATTATTTTATATATAAATAAATAATATTACTTATACACTTCTCAACAAATTAAAGCATCACTTACTCTACCCTCCAAAAATAGTCAACATTCAAGAGAGTGTAATTTCGTAAAAAATGATCGTATCGAGATCATTACATTATCGAGTTCAAAACATCATTTTACAGCTTGAAATCTCTACTTTTTTAGATCAACTCTTTAGAAAACGATCCTATTGATTTTTTATAGAATTACATAGGTCCAAATGAAAATGCGTCAAATCTCCAAAAATGTGTACTAAATTTAAAAGGTTCATGGCATAAACTAAAAATCGCACACAAATGCAGTTTACTACTTTCGAAAGAGTGAATCTTAACCTTTAATTTGCTTTTTGTTGTAGCGTTGTACGTATTTTTTTTCTACCGAGTTATTCAACATTGAAGCAAAAAGGACCATTTTTAGCTTTAATGTTGAATAA